TGAAGGTCATTCATGATGAAATAACTGTTGTAGAAGATGTTAGCAATTGTTCAGACATTTTGAAGCGTATAGATGAGATAAGAAAGAAGTTTATGAATGAGAATGTTTATGTTTCATTGACTTTCTCCAGTAAAGAGAACTTTTATGAGATAATATTGAAGAGAGATGATTTTAATATGGTGTAAATGGTAGCTTGGACAGCTTTAGGCGCAATGGGAACAAAAGCATTAGCATTTGGAGCAAAAGCACTTGGGGCTTATGACGCAGTAAATAAAATGAGTGGAGGAAGAGTTTCGAAGACATTAGATGCAAATAAAGGAAAGATTGGAGGCTGGGTTGCAAAGAAGTTAAGATTAAATAAAATAGGGCTCATAAATAAAGCATCCAATTTGGTTGCGACTGAGTCAGAAAATGCTTTAGGAAAGGACGATGAGTTTGCAAAACATGCAAAAGACTTTAATGACCAGATGAAAGGTGAAACAATGCATTTAAATAGATTCGATGGAACTAAAGAAAATGTTTCTTCTCCACCAGTAGTTCTTCCGTATGGTCCCTATGGAATGTATGGAAACCCTTACGAAAGACCATTTGACCCATTGACTGGTGGAAGTAACTGGTATCATTACGGACGAAGAAGAAAGACAGTTAAGCTGGAGACAGACGTGAAGAAAGCAACTAAAAAGAAACCAAGGAAGAGAGTTATAAAGTAATGAATTCAACATGGTTAGAAAAGAGGTTAGAAAACGTGTTAGATCTAACATTCTAACATAAATTTATTTTTGTGCTATGTTTTCATACGTGTGAGGGTGGTGATATCATTTATTTTTAAGTTTATTTTTAAGTTTATTTGGATGTAAATGACGAAAACTATTGAGATAACAAACTACAACGGTCATGAGTTCAAGAATTTGTTCTTCGTTCCTCGTGAAAATACATTCTATCAGATACGAGGGAGAAAGGGTAAAGTTAGTTTAAGCGTTTATGAAGGAATGAAGAATGGAAAGTTTATACAAGCATACGATACAAACGGTAAACGTGTTTCATTAGCTTTGTCAAAACTTACTAACATTTATTTTGACAGTGATTTTGACCTATATGAAGAAGAAAGTGAGTCAGAAGATTATGAGCTGTTATGTGAAGCACAGCAATGGGAGGAGTTGCAATACTTTTGTAAGTGAGAACGTTTATTTTTACATTAGTGAGTTCGTTAGTGAAGTGGTTGGCGGCTTTGTAAATATTTAAGGTTAAGTTAGTGTTTGCGTTTGTGTTGTAAAATATACGTTAACGGTTTCGTAAAGTGTCAAAACCGTTAAGTGGTGTAAGGAGACGCGCAGTGCCACAGTACACGACTTAGGGATACTAACTGAGGAAAATTTATGAGAACATTAGTGAAGTCGTTAGTGAGAACGATAGTGAGAACGTTTATTTTTACATTAGTGAGTTCGTTAGTGAAGTGGTTGGCGGCTTTGTAAATATTTAAGGTTAAGTTAGTGTTTGCGTTTGTGTTGTAAAATATACGTTAACGGTTTCGTAAAGTGTCAAAACCGTTAAGTGGTGTAAGGAGACGCGCAGTGCCACAGTACACGACTTAGGGATACTAACTGAGGAAAATTTATGAGAACATTAGTGAAGTCGTTAGTGAGAACGATAGTGAGAACGTTTATTTTTACATTAGTGAGTTCGTTAGTGAAGTGGTTGGCGGCTTTGTAAATATTTAAGGTTAAGTTAGTGTTTGCGTTTGTGTTGTAAAATATACGTTAACGGTTTCGTAAAGTGTCAAAACCGTTAAGTGGTGTAAGGAGACGCGCAGTGCCACAGTACACGACTTAGGGATACTAACTACAATTGAGCCAGAATACATTAGCATGGACTGTGCTCCACAGATAGCTCAAGCAATAGAAGAAAGCATTCCACAAGCTCAAATACTTTGGTGCGGAGTACATGTTCTTCGTGCAATTCTTCGCAAATCAAATAAGTTTTCTTCTCAAGAAAAATTTGAACAATTCTATAATTTGATGAAGGATTTAGTCTTCAAATTAGATGCAGAACATGAGGAAGAAGCAAATGCTGCCTATGATCAAGTTCTGGAGTTGCTCGACACAGATCCAACAGCATCTCAATACTTTAACAGACAATGGCGTTACAACATATCAAGATGGATTGCTCGTGACAGGCGTGAAGGCGACGCAACTAACAATATTGCCGAAGCTCATTTTAGAACACTCAAACATGACTATTTTCCTGATCGAAAAAATCTCAGAATTGATGATGTTATTATAGAAATTTATACAAAAGTGATACCATCTTTCGTTATCAAACTCAAAATTGATCAAAATCCAGCAGATGACCGTGTGATTAGGATCATGGAAAAAGCAACTAACGCAGAAATTGATGTAAAAAGACAAAGAAAAATCGAGAGTATTTCAATGCTCAATAGATTCCTCAATGCTGTTAGTGATGACTCAATAGATCCCACTAAAATATATCCTACCTTGAAAGTATTATTACAAAGAACTCATTTCATTTAATTTTGATTTTAATTTTAGATTAAATTATTAAATTTTAATTCTTTATTTTTTAGGATTGTTAGCTTTGTAAGATTGCTTTCTCACAAGAGAAAACAAGTATAAGGTTTAAGCTGTATGTATTAAAGTTATAAATATTTGATTTTAAAAAAAATCAAGATTTTAAACTTTAAAAGTATTAATTATGATTATCTTTCTTTAGCTTTACATGCTGTATGCTACTTTTGGAAACTGCTCTATTGTATTAGAATGTTTTTAAATTTTGCACCTAAAAATGCGTAATATTAAAAATTAAGGTATTAATTATGATTATCTTTCTTTAGCTTTACATGCTGTATGCTACTTTTGGAAACTGCTCTATTGTATTAGAATGTTTTTAAATTTTGCACCTAAAAATGCGTAATATTAAAAATTAAGGTATTAATTATGATTATCTTTCTTTAGCTTTACATGCTGTATGCTACTTTTGGAAACTGCTCTATTGTATTAGAATGTTTTTAAATTTTGCACCTAAAAATGCGTAATATTAAAAATTAAGGTATTAATTATGATTATCTTTCTTTAGCTTTACATGCTGTATGCTACTTTTGTCTTTGAGACATTCCATGATTTAAGTTAAGAAGCTTTAAAAAAAATGCAATAAAATAAAAAAATTCTTAGTATCGATAATCTGAAATATGTTCTTTTCTTTAGCCGCGAGCGAAGCGAGCGGCTTAGTTTCGTAATTTCATACAATTATTTTTCGAATTTGTTCTTTTTGTCAACCGCGAGCGAAGCGAGTGGCTTTTTATTTTTTAAAAATTTTTTTTTCTTTCTTACTTTTTTTTCCCTTACTTACAAATTTGATAGTAACTTACCAAATCTCTCTATCATATAATAATAAATTAATCCATTTTTGTTTCAAATACGACACTTTACATTTCTGACATGTAAACACGTCACTTTTCACTTCACCTCACTGGGCAAGTTTGTGCCCCCCTCAGAAAATTCGCGAAATGCCCCGAATTTGAATACCTTCACAGAAATTTGAGAGAAAAAGCAATTAAGCAATGTATCCTTGAAATCATATATGCAATTCTAATATTAAAAAATTCTTTTGATTTGTGTTGATAAAATATTGAATATCTTCTCATCTTACCGTATTTCAAAAATATAGCGGTGCAAAATTTTTGAAATAATTTTATTTCATAAACGAATAACATTCATGATAATCATCTTTTGAATTTCGTATTAAAAATTTTACATTGAAAAATTGAGAGCATATAAAAAATCATTTCTATGATAATTAGGTCATTGCTTATCGAACATACATAGATCATTATTAGATATACATCTCGATTTATCTATTCATTTGGAAAATTTTTATTTTTCAGATATTTTACATCAAACCTTGTTGTCTAACTTCAAAATGGGATTGAAATTAATAATTGGTTATTAATTTCCTTTACGAGAATTTTTATCAATTTTCTATTGAATCCATCGTTTATAACCTGCCAAGTTTTAAAATAATATTATCTTTTTCTATTTTAAAGATGATTACAAAATAATTAGTTGATAACTTGTTGGATTATTTTAAAATACAACAACATTAGTCAATATTTTAGTACGTCAATACTCACATTTAACTTTATTTCCCAAATCAGCATTTTTAATGCATTTTTTCCAGGATGTGAAACATTCCATTTCACAAACCAAAACAAATCAAGAGTTCTAATTTTTTCCATTTATTTCATTCACGATAGAATAATATTCTTTGTTAGTAAATGATCGGGTCTTGAGTGAAGTACTTGGATCCAAGTGCATTCAATTTCGACCATTTATACGTTTCTGACATAACTGACGATGCTTAATTGTTTATCATATATTTACCATTAGCTGCATAATTTAGAAGATATATACCATTTTTTTGCGATATCAACAATTTCAACGAATGAGTGGTCATAATTCTCTCAATTAAATTTGATTTCATCGTGTTCTCCGTTCACATAACCACTCTCAGTTTTTCCTGACTCACCATTCATCAATAGCAAGGTATATAAATTGATATTTTATAATGAAGCTAATCAATTCCTTTACTTTCTGTAGTAACAAATATTGATTCACCAATTTTTTCTGATTATAATTAATTTTAATATTTGAATATCAATATAATGAATATGTGTAAATATGTGACCAAAGATTTTCCGATTTTAATGCCTTTTTTTCTCTTCATATTTTCTTATGTCAATAAATTACCTCATAAATGAGTGAACAAATAGGCCAGCTTCAAGGAAAGATAATTCTATTTCGGATTTAGGCTTAGATGCCTTGATCAATTACTTTAATATATTATTATAAATATTCATTATGAATACATAAAATCGATTATGCATGTGACAGATATATGAATGAAGATTGTAATTCGTTATTCAGCAAAAAATATACATAAAGATTTTATATTAACATGTTAAGTCCGAAAAGCTTCATAAAATCAATTTATGAGTCTTCACTATATGTACAATCGTATGATTGAGCCATTGGTAGCTCAATAACGTTTGACGGTACTTCTTGTGTTGGTAATTCAATAACTATATCAGGTTCTTGCTGTTCTTCTTCATGAGTATCTTTTTCAGCTATTGTAGGAACGTGGTACTTCGATAAAATTTTCTCGGGTTCTGAAGAATGTGAAGAAATAGACTTATAAAGTCTTAATAACTCGTTGTATAAGCTTCCTTCTATTGCATTAAGATAGCTAAAAGCTTCCGAATATCTTACCCAGCCAGATTTCACACGACGCATTTTGAATTTACTAAATTTTTCATAGAATTCTATTAATTCTTTATCAGCATTATATAACTCATATGCAAGTTTTTGTTTCCTAAGGTTTGCAGTTTGATATTCTTCCTCATAATCGCTTCCAAGTTTTTGGAATCGATTTAGAGCTTTATCACTATTTGTTTCAGCTTCTTTGAATAGATATTTGTAATGGTTCCTTTTCTTTTCTAGTCTCTTGCCAACAACGTAACGACAATTAATATCTTTGAAATCTTCTAAAGCGCGTTCAAGCTGAATTGCTGATGTTTTGTATATATCTGCTAATTTAATATATGTTTCGGAAATTTGTATAAAATGTTCTCGAAATGCGGGCGCTTCTTTTGCAATTATTTTAAAAACTGTTCTACTTTGGAATAAAACGGCTTCAGATTGCTGATGTAGATATTTAATAGCTTCTGTCAGCTCATTGGTAAATGTTTCAAGCTCAATAATTTGAGGCGGCCCTTGTAAGGCAGCAAACATATGAGTTCACCTTCACCGAAAGGAAGTAATATTTATCATGATTTAATGATTCAAACATATCATACACAAGGAGGTAAGTTCATCTTTAAAATGTTAAGCCTTTGCTTTTCGCGATTATTTCCCATTCTCAAATCGTTAATTATTTGGGTTAATGCTTTCTGGACTGAACCATTATAATTGAAATATGTAAATTTTGATAGATTCAATTGATTCCAACTAATTTTGTGAATGTTTTGAAGAAAATGATTTCCAATCTTTTTAAAAAACCATAAATCTATAAGAATCTTTACGAATATGTAATTTTCATTCTTAATAAATATCCAATTAGTAAATTAGCATTTTTTCTTTTCTTCGTGATCTTTTCAAAATTTTTCCACATCTAAAAATTAACACAATCTCTTAGAGTGTATATTTCATGAAGCGAATCCAATAATTTTTTTGTCTGAATTTTTCTAAATTCAATCAAAGTTATTGAATGATTTACATAAAGTTACAAAATAACGAAGAAATATACATATTATTTTGTATCTCGTTGTAAACAGAAATTCATCAAAAGTGACACCTCAGAAAAGCTAAAATATTGAATTTTTGGAACTTTTGATAGAGCACGTTTTTAAATATTAATTAAAGTAAATGTATATTTTGTAAAGATTCTTTTTAATAAAAAAATAAAATTTTGAAGAAGAACACAAAATCTTCTGAAAAATAATATCACATAAACTCATATTATTTTCTAATATATAACTATTTTATATAAAAATCAAATTCAATGATCTTAAAAGCGAATGATAAACCTCAAAATTTACGAATATAATGAGTGGGAATATAATGCTTATCTATCATAAAACCATATGAAATATCAATTTTTGCTTTACGCCTAATTTTTGACGACAATTAGCAAAAAATGTTAAATGTTAACACTCAGTCCATTTGAATATGAAAAATAAAATTGACTTTGATTAAATGTTTTTATTTATCATGCAATTCTTCTTGCGACCAAAGATTTGAATAAAAGTTCAAAAAATAAGATAGCTTAAAAAATAATATACGGTAGTGTTTACTAATAGATGAATAGTATATAAATTCTATTAAAATGGATTTGATCCAAAAAAATATAAAACCAAAAATAATTGTTATAATTTAAATGAAGAAGTAATTTAAAACGATTTTATTTATGATCAAATTTTATATATTTTTTTGGATCAAATCCATTTTAATAGAATTTATATACTATTCATCTATTAGTAAACACTACCGTATATTATTTTTTAAGCTATCTTATTTTTTGAACTTTTATTCAAATCTTTGGTCGCAAGAAGAATTGCATGATAAATAAAAACATTTAATCAAAGTCAATTTTATTTTTCATATTCAAATGGACTGAGTGTTAACATTTAACATTTTTTGCTAATTGTCGTCAAAAATTAGGCGTAAAGCAAAAATTGATATTTCATATGGTTTTATGATAGATAAGCATTATATTCCCACTCATTATATTCGTAAATTTTGAGGTTTATCATTCGCTTTTAAGATCATTGAATTTGATTTTTATATAAAATAGTTATATATTAGAAAATAATATGAGTTTATGTGATATTATTTTTCAGAAGATTTCATTCTATATGCTTATGAAAAGTACTCTCAAAACCAACTTTTCCTAATTATAATTAAATCTAGAATATTGTATTATGCTTAGTATTATTTCATTTTTCTCATTCAATTTAGAATTTACAAATGTCAAAAAATTGAGAGCTGTCACTTTTGATGAATTTCTGTTTATTACAGTATCTGGTATGCCCTAAATCTGAAGAGTAAAGACATTGAAAAAATTCAATGTAGTTATGACCAGACATGATCAAGTTACATTGCTTTATTTTATATGTATAATAATAATAACTAAAAATGTTCTACTGTAATTTCTATGAAAAACAAAATAATTTATTTTTTTGATAAAATTGGACGGTGAAGGCCTAGAGATCGAACCAGAAGGAATTATGTGCGATTGTGGTAATATTAAAATCAACTCACAGGAATATGAGTTTGGTGAACAAATTGCATGCACAGAAACAGACTTTAACAGATTATCTAAAGAAGGTAACTCTATTGTCGTTGCACAACCCTCCGAAATCGTTATAGAAAAAACAGATAAAACATCTATTGTATCTGATGGCTCTCAAATGTTTGAATTGGTTTGCCAGAATTGCAAAGAATGTTTCAGAATTGTTCCCTGTAAACATGTCGCTTACTGCTGCAAGGTTGGTGTACAAACTGAAAGTCTTCAATCGTTTAAGAACCAAATGAACTCAGCACGTCCAATTTCAGACTTCTTCCCATTGGCATTAAGACCCTTCATAGAAACATCCACCAAGACGCCTAATTCATCCATTAGTGAGCCAAAGATCGCATCTATGATGCTTCCTAAGTATAAAAAAGACTACTATGTCGATGACTCGGACGATTCAGAACGTGACTTCCAACTCATGTTCAAAAACAAAAATGAGTGCATTGTAGGATCTTTTACACATCAGTGGATGTATTAAGACCTTGGAAATTTTATATTACCGATCAAAATTGATATTTTTTAATAAAAGTTAATCATTTGGATTAAATTATATAAGAATTTAATTGATCTTCATGGAAACAAAGCTAATCATGTACATATCAAGTTCTTCAAATATAATTCTAAGAATATTTTTTACATAAAAAACCGTTTTTATACAATCTTTTGAGCAAAATAAAATGGGAAAAGAACATTGGGCTTTGAAAACAATAGAAAATGAGAATCCTGGTCCAGGCTCATACAATATTGGTTCGACTTTTGGAAAAGACGCCTTAAAATACACAATTCGTAACAGATATCCAGAGAGAAAGCCCGAAACATCTGAAGTACCTTTAAGAGCAATTCCAGATACATCAACAAGCAGAAAAGTACTACTTCCTCCCCACGATCCTAATTACATTCCTGTAACTCATCAACAATGGCAAACTCCGGGTCCTGAATACATGCCACCAGATATGGGAAAGAAACCTGTATCTGCACGATCAACCAGAAGCAGAAAATCATTACAAGCTACAACTTCGCCACGTAGTGAAAGTCGTAAATCTTACAGTACGAACCCATATGGACCTGCAGAATACAATACACGCCGCGATTTGATAAATCCCCACTCACAAATGGCAATTGGTACTCGACCAAAAGAATACGGACTTAAAGGCGAGTCTCCAGGTCCTGATGCCTATAATCCACAGTCACCAAGCAGGAAGAACTTTTCAAAAGCATGCTCATTTGGAGCAAGAAATGATATCATTACTCCTAGAAGCTGTTCACCAGGTCCAATTTACAATCCAAATCCAGAAATGAATACAAGAATGTATAAGATTAGAGAGAGGGTTCCGATGCCTGTTGAAAAGATAGATATCACACCTTCACCCGGCAATTTTGATTTGAAGCCATTTGGAAGTGACACAAAACCCGTTACTTTTCCAAAAAGTTTCCAAAGAGATATTAAGCAAGAATTTGGAAACAGTCCCGCTCCCTACTACAATCTCCCTTCACAATTCGATAATCCAAAAGGCATGACAATTGGTGGCGGTCCCAGAGAGCCATCAACACCAAGATCTGGTGATACATCTCAAATTTCAAGCCCAAGATCAGCAAGATCAATGAGATCATCACCTAGAACAGCAGATTCATCAAGCAGACGCTCAAACGGAACATCCAGATCCATAGATTTCAGTCGAGCTCAGAGAATTCATGAAAGATACATACAAAGGAAGGCAGAAGAAGGAACCCCAGGACCAGGATATTATGATATAAAGTCAGAATCAAGTCAAAGATCATATAAAATGCACAAACCGATGGAAATTCTTAAAAAATACAGGGAAGACGATAATATTTTACCTGGACCAGGATATTACAACCCAGATTATACTGCAACGAAACCATCCACACCGGCATTCTCTTTCAAAGATGACTGTGGAGCTGTTTCTCAGCGAGTTCTAGAACCAGCACCACCTTTCTACGATGTACATGGTAAAACAAGAACAATGAAAACTTCTCCAAGATTTTCCATTGGAAATAGAACTCCTTACAAAGACCGTGATTGTTCAACTCAAGATGCTGGATATTATATGCTTCCTGATACTAACACAGGACCATTCCATTCAATCCATCTAAGAGATAGACATGAACTTGTTCCAGAATAAAAAATTATTTGTATTTTTTACCTTTATTTAAAACATATGACTATTGATATTTCGGTTTTTTGACATGAATGTTATGCTATTATACAATTATCGTGACATGTTACCCATAATTTTATTCAACGTTGGAATATTTTATCACAAAAACTACATGCGGACTGCAAAAAATGCAAACATAAATGATACATAACACATTTGCGCATATCAAACGAATATCGATGAATCATATTGAAATTAATCAGAAAGTTATCTTTTCATTTGATGCAAAACAGGGAAAACACCAGAGATGATGCTTGGATGTTCACATCATAGGAAGTATATTTGAATTTTATTGGTAAAAAAATTTTATTGAATTTTGCAATACATAAATAATAACTATTTACAAACAAAATCATATTATTTAAACAGTTACCAGTGAGGGATACATTAGAATTGGAGCTCTAGTAAAATTTAACTCCTGAACCTTATTAAAAACGCTCCATCTTTCGGAAAAGATATGGGATCCCAAATTTTCAACTGGTCTGCTAAGTAAAGATCCGAGGTCTAATTGATCATGAGATTCCTTGACTTTGATCTGTGGGAAGAAGCCTTCTTTAAGAAGAACTTCTCCTGGGACCATTGTCTTTGAGATAATTCCAACAACTTCAAGGATATGAGAGATCTGATAAAGCTTGCAGAGTGTGGTTTTGAATCTATTATTATTCCTGGAAAGGAAGTTACTTATCTGCTTGATATCCAAATTTGGACGATTGAAAGCAATAAAGGATAAGAGGAATTGAAGTGTTAGATTCGAAATAGTGACGGAATCTCCTGTGTAGAAAATTTCATTAAGATCTGCACCGGCAAATTTCTGGTTGACTTCATCATTAAGATTCTGGAGATGATTCTTCACGTTTTTCAATCCAAGCCAGGTGAAACAGTCAACGTTTGTCTTCTGGCAACATCCAGCAGACTCTAGAACATTAACTACATCATAAAAACGTCTTCTTTGGAATCCAAAACGGTTACATAACTGTGTTATTGTGTAGTTCTGCTTTGGTTCTCTTTCAAGAGTATCAACTAGATAAATGATTGATGTCCTGAAGTTATCTGTGCCCTTTGGAGCAGCATATTGGATGGGGATCATCTGCATCATCTGTTGTGGCTGGTAGTAGTAGTAATTCATCAAGAATAATGATTGGTTTTGAAAGAAATCACAAAACTCTCAAATTTTGAGAACAGATATTTCGCTAGTTCAGAATTTTTGTTAAGTTTACAAACGCTCAGATATACAAATTCTTATTTAGCGTCATCAATTTTGAATGGATTATCCATACGTTCATTATCCACTTTTATGATATGTTCCATAATTAATAACAAGACATATTTTAAATTTTGTTGTTTTTCTTATCAAATTTTTAATTTCTAAAACTATCGGCATTTTTGTGGTGAGATGATATCCCTTCAAAAAATTAAAATCTAATATTTTTCTTGGAATATTACTATATATAAAGTTCTAAAACTATTTCGAAAATTTAGGATTGACCGCTATCCTCACAATGTTCGTGCATAATTCATTTACGTTTATCTCAAACTATTCAATTTATTGTACACACTTTTGTGAGCTATCTCACTAATTGATTATCATCGTCTTAATAATATAATTTCTATAAATAGTATTTTAAGTATAATTCCTAAGTTTGCATTTCGCATCGTTGGTATTCATTTAATTGATAATAAATTGAACAAACACGAATATATTGATGGTAATAGCATTACCATATCATAAATATCATATTTGCTAGAAAACTTTTAATTTATGCATTGAACACGATAATCAATCAAAGATTGCTCTTTATTTTCCTTGATTGAGTAATAGATCTCATATTATTGTGTTTACTCTGTTAATATAGAATTATTCCTTCAACTATAAAGCATTAAATATATGCCTTACTAGTGAATAATTCAAATATTTATTATAAAATATATAAATACATTTTTACGAGTGGAACATGCATTAATTCATTTGTGTGACAATTATCATTCCTTAAAAAGATTAAACGCTCATATCAAATTTTCTGATATATGAAAACAGTTATTTTATTAATTTTCTTATATAAATGAGTTAGTATATACATTGTACATTTATTACTTAATAGTTTGATGAATAGCAACAGCTTGATTCCTGTCTTCTCAATAATTCGCAAGAAGCTTCAAATGAACTTACCTAATGACTTATATAATTATACAACCATCGTATCAACCTTCCATTTTAATGCATTTATCTAAACATCATCGATATTAGCAATTATTATTTTTTTAAGATTGAATTGGCGCTTGCTAATATGAATGATGATATACACTTTTGTGTGAACTCAAACAATGATTCATTCACATATAACATCATATTAAAATGGAATTTGTGGAATGATATTAACATTTGACTTATATATACTGCTCATTAGTGTTTGACTCTTGAAAATGTTATATTCTAGCATTATTTTTGCACATGTGTACATGATATTGAGTTGGGAAAATATCAAATGTCTTGGATGGAAATATATCTTAAAGAATCAATTATTTGGCTTTGTGGTAGCAATTACTCAATTATGGAACAATAAAGACCATTGAATAAATGAAAAAATTTACTTGATCTCAATAAATATAAGTACAAGGAATATACATTTACTGCCATTGATTAAAGTTTCAGTCCGAAAAATCAATTTATCTATACCAAACCAAAATTAAGGGTGCACACGAGAGGGTCATGTAAACTTCAGAATTTAGAACCTTATTTTAGGCATTATCTTGGCTACCTATTTAGGCTCGAAAAGCAAAAAATATCAAAAAATACAACTTGAGTCCATTATGACCCTTTCATGGAGGTAGTTTTTATCCGCTAGTATTTTCCCTTTGAATCTCTTTACAATTCGAAATCAAATTCAAATCTCAGTAGAAGAAAGGAAGAATCGACTTACTACGGTTGTAATACGAATAAATACATATATTTAATTATTTTTATTTACATAATAATTGTTTGAAGCTCATATTCCATCAAATTTTTAAATAAAAACATTAAAATGTTGAAAATGTTCATATATTTTAATAGGGTTTTGGCACTTTATTGAGGAATTACTACATACATAGTCGAACTGAACTTGACATTTTGAAATTTAAATTATTTATCAAAATTAAAATTTAACTTGAAATTTATAATTATTTAGTCATATTTTGCATAATTCTAAGTAGATTTTGTAAAAAATCAAGAAAGAAAAATTTTAACGTGCTTTATTTTTTCTTTTTTATAATAATACATATTATTATATAATTAACATATTCATAATGTTTCACTCTTTCAAAAATATAATTCTCCTCCTCTCAAATAAACGTACATACGGGTGGCCTCTTTTTTCAAAAAATTAAAATTTGAAATTTTGGGCTCAAATATTAGAGATTTTTTCAACCTTCAACGATATATGTTGTCTATATCAGACCTCCTTTCTTTTTGATACTTAACATTGTTCCTAAATCTTAGCCGTTAAGGCTGTTCTGAATAGAGATGCGAGTTTCCGAATTTTTTTAGCCCTGGGATGTCATAACCGCTGCGGTTTTGTAAAATTTGGGATAAATTTTGACAATCCATTTTTTGTGGGATGTACGTTTATATCAATTTGCTCGGCGTTTGCCGAGCTATTGTACAATCCTACTCGAATTCATTACGCAGCCCTGGTCACTCAAAGGCCAGGGCATACAATTACAAAATAGTAGAGTGAGACTCTTCTAATTTCTTCCAATCACAAGGAAGATCTTAGAAGAGCCTCACTCTGCTCGAACACATTACGCAGCCCTGGTCACTCAAAGGCCGGGCATACAATTACAAAATAGTAGAGTGAGACTCTTCTAATTTCTTCCAATCACAAGGAAGATCTTAGAAGAGCCTCACTCTGCTCGAACACATTACGCAGCTCCTGCTCAACAATGAGCAGGTCTTACCACTTTGAGAGGCTTTCGCTCGAGTTCTGATGCAGATCCCAACGCGAGCGAGAGTCTCTCAAGCAAGCTTCTAATTCGTAGCTAGAGTTTCACTCTTATGAACTGGCAGCCAATTTGAGAGACTTTCGCTCGAGATCTAATGAAAAATCAGAACTCGGCCAAAAATTGCCCAAACAGGCTTGTAATTCGTAGCTATAGTATTGATCGTATGGATGTGTTGCCAATATGAGAGACTTTCGCTCGATGTCTGATATTGCATCAGACATCGAGCGAAAGTCACTCAAAACAGCTTAGACATGTCTATTTTGACGGCATTAAATGATTTCATAGGAAATGTCTCAGTTGTTAATTAAGTTCACGTGAGCTTTTATGAATGAAAATAAGTAAAAAAAAAGAATTTTCTCAAAAAAAATTGTGTACGCATTGAAATTTTTATCTATAAATTTAGATATGTCATCAATAATATAATATAATTTTAAATTCGTGGAGTACACTTGGGATAATTGAATATGGGCTACCCCATCCCAACCTCTCAAACTTCCTCTGAATTTGGACAAGGTATCCCAATCCCAAAGACCTATCTGAATAAAATGAAATAAGTATATTATATATATTATTTATTTGCTAATAATGAGCATAAATCGCTAAAATTATGAAGAAATTAAAAATTAAAAATTAAAACTAGAAAAAAATGTTGATTTAATGAGAGAATATTGTATAAAAATAGAATTATTAGCTAAAATACGTATTAATTTTATGATATTTCAATCACATTAACGAAAATCGCCCATTTTTAATTCAAATGGGCGGGAAAAAAAATAAAATTCCAAAAAAAATTGAATTGGGGAAACGATAGGGGACGGGATATGAGAAACCCCATATGTTTGGGAATTTTTCGCATCACTAGTTCTGAAAATATTTTTTTTTCGAAAAAATTCGAAAAAAATTCTTAAAATTCAAAAATCCCTTAATTCCTGAGGATTTTGGAAAAAAGTTTTTACATGAACATGTGTATATTATATGAAGTATATTGATAAGGTAAAAATCGAATTTTATTGCATATTCATCGAGAAAATAAACTAACGAATCCCTCAAAATTGAGAGGGTAATCCTCCTCCTCTCAAATAAACGTACATACGGGTGCACCCTTAAGTATCTCTCTGAACACAAATTAAAAAAAAATCAAAAATGGAGATGGGGGGAATCGAACCCCCGGCCTCAACTATGCTAAAGTCGCACTCTACCACTGAGCCACACCCCCTTACAATAATTACTTAATTTTAAAGTATTTAATGAATAAAATTATAATATTAATTATTATTCTTGATTCTTTACTTTTGTTCAACCATGTATAGCAATTTATCAACTCATTGCTTTCAATTTTTACTTTTTCATATATATTTTCAAAATTTATATTATTTCTTCCATTTAGTTTATTACTTTGAAAAAATGATATTTTCTTTCTTTTTGATAATCCTATATATTCAATTTCTTTCAAAATACTTACTCTATTGTCTTTTATTTTCCAATTCTCTGAGAATCATTGCAATATAGAATGCACCACTAAATTGAAAATTTCTACTCAAATGCATCTTTTGAATTACACACGTCTTCTCACGATAGAATAGCAGCAATGATATCAAACTGCGAAATGTAACTGCTCATGAGGAAATCTAATCTAAATAAAAATCATACCCGAAAGTTTAGTGGTAATATATATCAAATTTCATAATGGAAAACGTATTATAATAAGATATTTAATTCACCGAACTCATGCCAAGTTCTTATCTTATTTCATTAGTATGTGATCCAATATTATTTTGTGATGTGTTTAGAGGCTTTATGTTTCAGAAGCAAATTCAAAAAAAATTGAGATAAAAAAAATCTTGTACTGAATAAACTTCCAATAAAAGAAAAATATTTCGGTTTAAACATGGAAAAACATTAGAATTTCACTAATATTTGGATCAACATTTTAACGGAAAAGTGTTGAATTTTCACTTTTCTCAAAAGGGACAACAAAATTTATTTTATCCATAGTTTGAATATTATCGATAGCTATCATATATGGATTCAATTTTATGCGTTTAGTGAATCAATGAAATCCCGCCAAATATACCATTCAAAAAAGAAAGTTTTGTCAATCAGATTTCAATGAGTAATTCACCCCCTACGGCAGATGGGGACAATGGTCTCAAGTCAAAGCAACCTGTTCCCGATAAAAATGCCGGTGAAGTTGCCCAAGAAAACACCAAGCCAGAAGAGCCAGAACAAGGCGAAAATAATGGAAAAAAGGAAACCTCGATGGAGCGTTCCGCCAAGACAGATAATGAGGCTCACGAAAATCAAGAAAATAATTCATCCGAAAAAAATTCCTCGGATTCTTTCCAAATCGATTCTTACAAAATTCAAGATATTTTCTGTCAAACTGCGAACACAACCAATCCAGAGTACCTTGTCAGCCTGGAAGGATCATCAATTATTCGTACTGTTAAAGTGGGAGAGGACGTTTTCCATTCTTCTAAAGATTACCAGAAGAAACTCAAGGAATTCAAGAATTCTACCTCCCCAGGTATCATCGTTTCGAATTTGACATCCGAGCTCATAGAGCCGATGTCATCCCCTATATCTGTCCCTTGTTTATATATGGATAGAATTATAACTCATCGCTACGCCTATAGTCCGAACACATACCTTATTGAGCCGATCGACGAAGACGATGAAGAGGAATTTCTCAAGGACCAAAACGAGAAAAAGGAAAAAACGGTTATTTATTTCGTTAAGTGGAATGGCATGGATGAAGAGTCAGCATCATGGGAAACGGAGGACACCATTGCAGGCAAGGCTCCTTCCCTATTTTGTGCTGCAAATGCCTATGATTTCCCAAGAATTATCGAAAACTACTGGAGAAAGACGAAGATCATTGACGAAGAGTCGGACTACAAGAAATTCCCAGAAACTCTCGAGCCACATGATTTACTCCACGATATTAAATTATCGGACGCACAATTAGAGATTTTCAACTTCCTCGTTAAGACAATTTCAGCCAATAAGACCCCAGTCGTCAGAATTCCTCAGGGTATCGGAAAGACTGTCGCTATAACCTCATTCCTCAACACAGCAGTCTTCAAGCTCAACGAAAACCACCCAACGCTTCTTATCTGCGACGATACATACACTTGGGTCGAGACACTCAGATTCGCTTCGAACTTGTACTGGTGCGAATATCCAGAATATAAAGGAGCCAGAAGCATCATTTCCCGCGAAGAGTTCCAGGGCAAGATTGGCGCTAAGTTCGATATCATCGTCATGACCCATGAACTCTTACAACGCGCAATGAATGCAGTTAATAAAGTTAAATGGGGATTCATCATCTTTGATCAGACAAACGATCAATTCAAGGTCCCAGTTTGGGTCACAAGACTTCCTGGCCACAAGATCTATCTCTACGATCAACAGAACGATGATTATTCTCAAATTCATTCATCATACGAAGTCGCTACCATTACTGGACAAGAGTACAAGGCATACGAAGAGCTAATCATGGTCCCAGATCTCAATGCCGGCCTCATTTACGATTATTTATACAATCATCTCAAAAATTACAACCTCGAGCTTTACGACAACTTCCAAGTCCAAGTCTTCTTCCTACAATGTGCATACTCGCACCAATTCCTTGTTCCAGAACTCAAGGATATCATAATTGGTCGCAAGGCTAAAGAACTTGGCTCTGCTCCGACACAAGAAGACATTCTTGAGCTCTCAGGCGAGTGTTCTGCCAAGTTCCAAGAGGTTTTGAAGATCACAATGGAGTGCACTTCATCTAAAACTGTTTGTGGCGTCATCGCAAATGGTTTCGCAGTATTACGTTTACTTAAGGAGTTCCTTGTACACAAAGGTGTCCCAGCAACTCTTCTCAGTTCCCCAATTCCAGGCGAATCCTTCGATAAGACCTTCGAATGCGGCGCATTGTTAATGACTCGCAACATCAACTCATCAGTCATCGAAAACTTGGACATTTCCACTCTCGTTTTCTACGATATCGACGAAGATTTCCAAACCGACCTCCACATCCAAGAATACCTCGGCAGATGCTCACAAGTTGCTGTCAAGCGCTTAATCACTGCCGAGTCCGCCGAAACAGCCATCTACGGCCATGTCCTCAACACGGACGAATTCTACGCCCAAGGCATGGAGAAGGAGGAGGCGGAGGAACTCGTCAGATACTCCATTGCAACAACTTCACCATGGAGTCGCTCCAAAGACCAGAAAACGCAGACATTGGACGTTGTCTATCCAGACATGATCACGCAGTTGTACAAGGAATTCAACCAGATTCCTATCTCCAGTTTAGAGACTTCCAAGGAATTCTGGCACCACATCTACTCTAAGAACGACGAAGTTCCTGCAAACGGAGACATCACATTGAATTCCGTCAGAAAACTCGTTGACGATGTCTGCAAATTCGGTGTTTTCGATATCAAGAAGATAGCAGAAGACATGAAATTGTCAGAAGAAGTGACAAAATCTCGTATTCTCATGTCATTCTCGTCAATGCTCGCTGAAACAAATACATACGATGTTATTTACATCGCATGTTACATTGCCAAAGAACTTTCAGCGAAACAAGTACCGGTAACTGCTGAAGAATGGACAGAATTGTATTCCCAAACATACGAAGATAACAACGACGCAAAGATCATCCAACAAATTCTGTCAGAATCAAAGGTTTACAAGTCATTTGCCAAAACATGTCAATTTGCAAATGACAGAATTGCCGTTGAAGCATATTCTCAGTTGACAGAAGAATTGTATCCAAGGAGATACTGGACTGACAAGAGCGATCTTCCAACGAAAGAACAATTGAAAGAAGTCCTCAAACAAAGCAGTTCTTTCTGGCATGTCAGATACGATGATTTGAGAAGAGAAATGATGGTCGATGTCAACTCTTTCGCCACACATTACAAAGACGAAAAGATCAAGGATGAATCATTGGCATTGAAGTTCTGTGTTGACATTTTCAAGTGGAATCCAAAGAGTCCAGAATGGGATGAAAACGAAGTTCTTCAAGTCATCGCAATGCTCAGTGAATACGGCATTCCTACGAACAAAGGAAATGATGATGGAGAAGAAGTCCTCGCTCTCTGCAATTTGATAAGAAAGACACCGGAAGAAAGTGTCAAATTCTGTCGTTTGATGCAGGAAGAAATCATGAAATTCTCTTTACACGATGTTTCCATTGTTTTGCCGAACCAAATGACGAATACAGAGGATGTAATCGAAATTGTCGGCCAAAACATTGCAAACCAGAAACCAAACATCATCGCAATGCACGCAATCAGAAATTATCTCGCGATGACAGAGCAGCAGCGCAAGGATAATTTCTCAGGAATATTGCCAGACGGATGGACAGTTGAGACTGATTATCTCTTGTTCAGTTTCTGCTGCCAGTTCGGTATGGAAGCAGCGAACAATTTACCTGATGTTGATATCGGTGAAACAAGAGAAGGAATTGACGTTTTCGGAAATTACGAAAAACTCTTCAAAGCAACCGAAAATAACTCAGCAATCGTTGAGAAGAGAATCACAGCAATCGCACAATCAGTTTCTCCTCGTGTTTCTCATTCTTCTTTCTCCGATGAAGAGCCACAAATTCCAAAGACAACAAGATGTGGCAGAACCGCCAAAGTCACTTCACCTCCTGAACCAACGACCACCAATCCTAAAGCTGCAAGAATCAAAGAGGAAATCGTCATGAAGGTTCCAGAAAAACCACCACCAAGTGTCATCATGGTTCCTCCAGAAGTCAGACTGAGAAACCACGAGATGTCGAATGAAGAATTCCTTCAATCTGTCAGAGAAATGCGTATCGCATCCCAGAACTTGATGAATGCCCTCACAGAAGAACTTTTGCCTCCTGATTTCGTTCTCCAGATTTTGAGAGAAAACAAACTCAGTTCACCTAACATTACTAGTTTGTTACAGATGGGCAAATTGCAGCCAAACATTGTCTATCAATTACTTGTCGAGCACCAAATTACAAATGAGATTCTGAATGAAACATTGACTTGGGTTCTGAACAACAAGTATTTCACTGATGACGTTGTGAGAAACATCTTGGCAATCTACAGGTACAACAAGCAGACAATTTCCCAGGCGATTTCTAACAGAGGAATGGTGATTTCGGACCAGAAACAAACGCCACCTCCGCCTCCAGCGACTGCTCCTCAGAATCCGCCACAAATTAAACCACCAATTCAGTATTCTGTCATTTATCAGCAGCCAGTTGTACAACAAATGCCTCTACAAGTACAACAGCAGATACAGATGCAACAAATGATGCTTAACCAGAATAATAATAAGAAATCTAAGGGTAAAGCTGCACAACCAGCCCAGCCAACACCACAACAGCAGCAACAACAGGCACAACAACCACCGCAGATGAATCCGGCCTTAACTCAGCAAATGTATTATATGCAATACGCATATGCCCAACAACAAGCTGCAGTTGCACAGCAACAACAGGCAGCTGCCCAGGCCGCCGCTGCTGCACAGGCTCAGCAAAACCAGGCACAACAAAATCAGAATAAGAAGAATCAACCACCACCACCACCGTTGCCACAACCAGCGGCAGCATTGCCAGTAAGGCATAAGAGAGGTCCTAAATCTGCAGCAGAAAAGGCAGCCGAGAAGCAAGCTCAAGAAGCTGCACAAGCCGCTCAAGCTGCAGCATCAGCCGGCTCACAGGGAATCGCAGTTCCCCTCAAAATGAACGCCCAGCCATCTGTTGTCCCATTTATCCCTGTTCCTTTGAAGAGTGACAACAAATCTGACGACACAAGAAGAGGTCAGAAGATTATTGAGTCAACTGTCTTGGATACACTATTTAACAAGTTGGACAAGATCGACAAGGACCACAACAAGAAGTGAAATTGATTTTTTTTCTACAAAAACAAAAGTTTATGAATTATATATCTCTTTATATTCATTTTTATTTCATTACGAATAAAAGAATGTTTTTTATTATTCCCTTTTTTGTTTTGGTGTAATTTTGAAAATTATTTTTCCATTTGAACAACAAAAAATCATCTTTTCAATAATAACATAAGCAGATCATTTCAATTTTATATGTTCATTGAGAAGATTGGTACACAAAGATTATGAATTTCATAAATTATAAATTTATGTGCCTATTTGTATGAAATGACCATCAAACACATTCCTATTTCCATGTATACATCATGAACAAAACCATATGTCTTATTGAATATATGTATGATTGAATTTTAACCAAAACGTTCAGTTATAGGGATGTACATACAGGCTTATAATACATAATTTCATTTTCAATATTCTATCTTCAATCTCGCAGATAATTATGAATTTATTCAAGATATCTTCTCACATCACTCAGTAACATAGTATTAAACATAAATTCGGATTTAAAAAAATAAGATAGTGGGTTTATACAAATAATACAACTAATTAAAGCCAATAGCCATAAGAATATAAACAGGACTAATGTCATTATTAGACTTATAATCTTCAGTTTCTTCTACTTTTTTTGTTTCTCCGGTGTTGACAAGAACAGGATTAGAAAAGTCTAAAGAATATTCATTTTGACAGTTAAATGTACTTAGATGATTAAGATGAAATGAAAGATTAATACTATCACCAATTATTGCTGAACTCGAGGGGTTTAAAATAGCAATTACATTGTTTGATAAATAGCTACAATTTGTTACTGAAGAACCAGAACCGCAATTGAAAATATATTGACCTGTATTATTTTTAAATATAGTGTTATAAATGTTAAGAGGTGCACTTCCAACTATTCCCGCACTACCACTTGGAGCTTTGTTATCAAGGAAGTTGCAAGTTATTATTTTATGGGATGAAGATCCATGGAAACCAATATATTCTTTGAGTACTGTATTGTTATATATTGTTGAATAGTTGAATACGCCAACACCTGTTGTCTCCCAAAGCGCATAGGCGACGTTGCCTGTATTATATGCAAACGAAATATTGGAAGATGTCAATAGTTGATTTCCTTGTGACATTGCAACACAATTATAATGTCCTTTAGAGATTGCTATTGTAGATTGATAGAGAGAGTTTAAACTCACACTGTCACCATTCGCTTTTGTATAAGAATGACCACCCCAACCTGTACTCATTGATTCTGATGTATTATAGCTACAGATTCGAGCCTGAACGCTTTGTCCACCCATCTTGTATATAGAGCCGCCACCATTTGAGTTTTGAGAGTATGAATTCAAAAATGAGCAACTAAGGACAAGAAGATTATTACTTGCGTCAATTTGAATTACTCCATTTGGGCTAAAATTTTGGAATACACAATTATCAACAAATACATCATTAGACTCTGTAATTCTGCTAGAACCATTGTTAATGTAGATTGGAGCTCCAGGGGGATAATAGTTTTCCCAATCAGCAATTGCTTGATGGATTCTTAACATACTAGAGATGCCTAGAATTGGGAGAATAAGTGCTCTTTTTTCCATCATCAGTGGTTTTAGAAATTTTGAGATTGGGCAAAAAAGGTTTTGACAGTAAACATTGGAGAAAAAAACTCAAAATTTAAATAGTATTATAGAAATGATTAATATCGAATTAATTTGAGTGTATTTGAAAATATCAACTTTTCAAAAAATCAGCAAGTTTGACAAAATGAACAAATGCATATTTTCTCTTCAAACTAATATTTTTCAACAAATTAACAAATTATATTTGAGTCCTTAATTATCACTTTTCCTGTAATTCACAATTTTTTGAGTGAGAAAAATTTTTAATTATGCAATCTACTTCCACAATGAAACGTATACGAAGGATTTAATAAATCTATTTTTAAAACTCTTTGAAAAATTCAATTGCATGATATTTCAATAATATACATTCAAGTAAATTCAATCCTAATCTTAATTTAAGAGTAAAATGAAACTTTGAATTAGCTAATACACCAAAATATTTAAATCTTTTATTTAACATATTGAAATTTTGGGATAAATTTACTCAATTCTAAAATCATCGAAATTTTATTAAAATGTAATTCTATAACCAATGATTTTTATTATTATTTTTAAACAAATTTAAAGGTTCTTATCCGCCTTGATCAAATTTCTTACTCTTTATTTTGGTTCTGTTTTTCATGTATTAATATTAATAAACTAATTAGGTATTTTCTCAATACTTTTATACCATAACGTTCAAAATAGATAACGCTTTAAAATATCTTTAATTTCTTAAAACATTTTTTTTTTGTAAACAGTAAATCATTTAACACGAAGCTTTACAAATTCAATGATCCTTGGACGCGTTCAGATATCAGATGACACTAAATCTCTAATAGATGGTCTAGACTACATTATCGAAGAACGTGGTGAAATCTTTTTGAAAGGCAAAGGAAATCGTAAGACTTTCTTTGTTTCTCTTCCTGCAAAAAATAACAATATAGAAAACTCTCTCATTTTGAAAATTAGTTTACAATTATATTTTCCTTGTTATATTATGAAATAAAGTTTGTTTATTTGAATTTCATTTTGATCATAAAAATGATATATTACGATTCTAATGAATCATTTATATCATAAAAATTATTAGAAAAATTATGCTTTGGATAATGCACATGAGTATCGCATCATACACAAATATTGAATTCTAGAATCAAACCCTAGTTTTAGACATTTTAATTTGAAAATCAAATTTCAATAAAAAACTCTTTTATAATGAATAATTTATAATGAACTTATTCAGTATTCACTTTTATCATGTTTCGAAATATTACAAATGGGAAATCAACAAAATCATAGATTTTTTTCAAAGAAAGTGAGAAAATAATAGCACATTATCTATAAGCATCGAATAGTAATCTCATGAAACTAAAATTGGTGGATGTTTATTACATTTCTGAAAATAATTCAATTAGTTTTACTAATTTATTTGAAGAAAACATCATAAAGCTTGACCCAAAAGCATGCCTGTATCAAATCCATAATGCAAATCATTAATTTTTTAAAACATATTAATAATTGAAAACCGCTTCACTCATTCAATTTTTAATCTATTTTGGTGAAAGTGATAAATCAATCATTGAGATTGGTATACATAGCTTCATATTGTCCTTTTCATAGGAATTTTTTGTTTGTTATCGTGAATTTTTAAATAGAAACCGATTTTTTAATTCAAAATAAGGGTTTCGTTTTGCTAAAATTGTCACTTTTATAGCATATTTGTTTTTGGATGTTTTGCGAAACCAAAAAAACAAACTATGATATACAATGTGTGTGTAAAGAAAATACTTTATTTACTAGTTAAAAAATCATTTGGTATTGATCAAGTTATTTTTTCTGGATAAGATATTATATGGATAATTGGATAGAAAATACAATTATATAATCTTGTACCTGGTTTAATTAAGCTAATTGTCATCAGAAACTTGTAATTTTTATGAATTTCAGATTTTCTTTTCATTACTGCTTTTCTTAATAGGTCAAGTTCTTATTTACGTTATAAAGTATGATATTTACAAATATCAAGTTATCATGTTTTTTGAGAAATTATGAGAAACAAACAAAAATGAAAAAGATAGGAATAGCAATGAATAGTGATGTGGGTATAGAAAATGTAAGAGATATGAATGCAAAGCAATCAGTATTTAGGATATTGACCATAGATTTCGAAAAAAAAATGCTGCATATTGAGCGAAAACTATGATTATATTATAAGGCTGTCATTTAAAGCATAATGAAACTATTCCCTTTTCATTTTAATCGAATAAGATAGTAAAGATTTTTGAATTAGCTAGAAACTGATGAGATGTTTTCACAAATCAGATTTTTAATCTCTATAATGCATAATTCACTCAATATCTCAATTTTGATATTGCGAGATATTTTTGCTATCGGTTTCGCAATTTTGACACAATAGCAAGAGGGTTCTATAAGCATTATTATCAACGTAGAATCTGAATATCATATCAGAAAATGTCGCAAATCTGACATTTACCCGACCAAATAGCAAAAATAATTGAATACTTTTCGCAAAAACTTTAAAAATCGATAAAAATATGAAATATAGATATTAAAGAGACTTTTTATATAATATTAGGTCAGGTAAGTGGGGCTTCCAGGGGCTGCGCCCCTTCTAGCCCCTAAGAAATTTTGCCCAAGACCCAAGAGGAGGACCGAACCCCAGCCGACCAGCCGGTGATAAAAACCAAAACCGTTTTTAAAAAGTGACAGACAACTCCGTTTTTTAAAAGTGACAAAACCGTTTTTCACTATATAAGAGATATGCAAACAAAAAAGTGACAGCCGCATGTTTTAAACTACAAAAACCGTTTTTTACTTCACTTAAAATGCCACGTAAGCTACGTAAGAATATACGTAAGAGGAAGAGAGCATTGAAACATCCAATAGTAAAACTGACACCACAACAACAGTTGCAACAACAAATGATGAATGACCCCACTATGTTGCAACAAATGTCAAGCAACCCTATGCTTTTAAACCGAGTTATTGGTGCACAGAGTGGAGGTTTAAGAGCGGCACTTTTAGCGAAAATGGCAGGCTATGGTGGAGCTGCAGACGGAACAGCTTATAACCCTCAAAGTCAAATGAATTTGAGTTCACTCAAAAATCAAATAACAGATGTCAAAAAGTCAAACATAGACATACAGAAACAAATAAGTGAAAACGAAAAGAAACTAGAATATGACAGACACACAAAGAAACTCAATGAGTTAAACGTAGAGAAAAAGAAGAAAGAAGAACAACTGAAAGAACTAAGTACAGAGGAATATGCGAAAAAAGTGTCAGAAAAAGCAGCAGAAGTAGCAAAAATGGAACAAGATGTTATAAATTTGAAAAACCATACTACTCAATATAAAGTACTGAAAGATGAAGAGATAAAACAAAAAGCCCTGAAGACATATATGGATAGCGATGAGTATAAAAAAGAAGTTGAAGCAAATGTAAAGGCAGAAAAACTTTTACAGTTGCAAAACCAAACCGTACAGTATGAAAACTTAGCACAAGAAAGTAAAATAACGACGCAGCCATGCAAAAGGCAATGAAAAGCGCAGAATATATAAAAGCTAATAATGACTGGTTAGATGCCCAAGCCAACGCTAAAGCAGCCCAACTTATAGGGTCAATAAGGACAAAAATACAAGCGGATGAAGACAGTTCAAATGAAGCTTTAATGAATGCTGACTTTAAGAACGCCTTCGAAGCTCTTCATAGTAAGGTAAAACTAGTGAACGACTTCTCATCTGGAAAGAAACTGAAGTCTGAAGGTTTCGACAACGAGTTAAGAGAAGTAGCACAAAATATGACGAAAATAACAGATGCAGCAACGAGACAGGCAGTTCAAAGTGCCTATGACGCCGTTAGAGCAACTGTTGTGGAAAGTCAAGAAAAAGAGTTACAACAGACCAAAACAGACCTAGTAAATGCTTTCTTAAAAACGAAAAGTCAGGTAGGACATTATGCTGCAGATGGAACATATGTGCCAGCTGGTGGAACTTATATACCACCAAACCCTCCAAGAGAAGCACCTGCACCAGGACTACCTAAAACATTTACATCGTCACATGGACACAGACACAGGCATGCACCAAAACCAACACAACAACCAACACAACAACCAACAGTTCAAAATCCAGCACCACAACAACAACCAACAGTTCAAAACCCTGCACAACAACCAACAGTTCAAAACCCTGCACAACAACAACCACAAACAGAGCAAGGACATAAAAGAAGTAGAGAACAAGGAAACCAAGAATTCTTAAAAATGCTTAAGGAAGATTATGGTTACCCAGATACTCTTGACTTTAGTGACAGATATAAAGAAGCTATTAGAAAGTTCAAGGAAGGAAATACTGACCCGAACCTATTTAGCTTTATGGTTCAGCACCAAATGGGATATAATTTCAAACCTGGAAAATACAAGCTCGCTAAGGGATATGATTTAATAGCATATCATCCAAATGACATGAATGAATTTACTCCGAGATATTTGGTGTCAGAGCTAAATGATAATTCAACTCTCTTCATGAAACGCGTAAAAAATAGAGACGGAACGAAAGAAGAAAGGTTTATGAGTCCGGATGACTTAGATAGGGAACTTGTTGAAAACGGTCTCGGAATATATGAAATGCCAGCAGATGAGGTACAAGAAACTCCACAGGAAGAAGTTCAGATACAACCAGACATGGAAGAAATAGTTCAGCAACAACAGCTAGAAGAGCCTGAAGGAAACGAACAAGTCCCTCCTTTGGAAACTAACTTCGCAGAACTAGATGAAGATTTGGAACAGCCGAAAAATCTTGACCCTCAACAAGTGTATGCGGAGAATATGGAATCTTTCCAAGAGTCTAAGAAAAATTCGGCTGACATAGTAGAAGAATATCGAAAAATGTTCGCCGACATACAAAAGACTCCAACATCAGATGAAAATATTCAGCATAGAATGGAAGAACTGAAAGAAAGTGTACGCAAAT